AGTGTAGCAGATGGATGGATGGAAATTAGTTGAAAGGAAAAAACGGTGCCAAATTGCATAAGAGGACTGCATCACACCACAGGGAGCAGCTGAAAGAGGAACATCATTCTGTACTACTGTGTCTATTTAACTGAACACATTTGCATTGTGTGTGTGTGTGTGTGTTTTTTTTACCCAGTTGTTACTCTATTATGTTTCCTTACATCCTGCACAGAAAGGAACGAGATGTTGAGTCAGCACAGCTGGTCACTGTACTGTCAGCCAAACCACACATTGCATTTGTAAAAACAAATGAGTCTGTTGCATTTTAATGAATTAAATGATTTATTTTTGTAGCTAATCTCAAAAAGAACAACTCTGCCATTACAGCGTTATGAAATAATACCACCATAATTGTTGACCTGTATAAATTAAATACAAAAAAACATTTTAAATAGATATTTACATAAATGATAATGGAATAAATAATAAATCAGCAGAAGTCCTGCCCCTTAGTTACCATTTCTAGGCTTCAGATTCAGCGCCAGAAACTCTGGAAAAATGGCAGCTTGTCCGTTTTCATTGTGTTTATTGTTTGTATTTACTACAGTTAAGTCGAAATGGAATGTGGATTAAAGATTTGTGGCTGTGTTTCAGTTGTCAAAATAACCTACATTCATCCTCCTAGGTATTTCCTATCTGTGCTTCACATACTGTAGCAGCTGATATTGTGAACCAACTGTGGAAAGTGCTACCAAACTGGTGGGTTGAACATTTTCAGAGGTATCCCAGAAGTGGCATCCATCAAAAATGAATGAAACAATCAGCTGCAATCAAATGAATATTAAATAAAGGCTACATTGCCTATAAATAAAACTGGTTTGTCTAAATACTGCACACCTTGTGGTAATAAGGTTGATAAAAGCAAGAGGATTTTAATAGAAAAATACTAACAAAATAAAATAAAATTACTTAAAAAACTGAAACACATTAACACACACACACACACAAAAACCTGGTGAAAACACATCTGGATTTTCAGATTTCCCCGTAGTAGGCTCATCATTTAAATCCAGAGGTGTCTTAATCATGTTGTTACAAAACATCAGATGCCAGTGAAAGTCATCTGTACATTTGTGTTGGATTGCTAGCTATGTTTAAATCCTTGCATTGAAATGTTTATAATTCCAATACTATTAGGAACAGATGCATTTCCATGGTGAAGGTGTAAAACAAACATTTCAGTTTCACATGATCTCCCACTTACTTCTAGATTCAACAGATTAGTTGGTGTAGAATTAAACACTGGATAAATGTTTATTCATCTTTGAGGTTGTAAATAAGTCACAGTATGGGCTATTAGACTGACATTTACATCACCCCTCCCTCAGCATGTCTGTACTAAAGTTTAGTCTGACACAAAGAAATGACTCTAAGATACGAGTTCAGAGAGCGCAGCAGCAACC